CAGGGAACACGTCTACATTGTTCCACAAAATTGGCAGGTATTTTGCCCGAGTACAATGCAAGGTCAATTTTCAAATCATCTCTTGGCTTGTGTTGGTGTGCTTGGAATTATATACGTAATGGTTTTCATGTTACCTTGGTCTGGACGCTAATAAAAATGCTTCTTTCAATACTGGCAGTATAATTTGTGGTCATAGGCGATGCTAAGTGCATTAATCCTTAGGCTATATATGACAGAAACAGCAGATTTTTCTCAAGACATGGAATTTTTAAAAGTCTCAAAACTGACGTGGCTTTCCTGGGACATTTAGTACTACCGTTGTGCTCTTCCCCTTGCATACTTTTTATAGAATATTTTATAAAATCATTTGTTCTAATCTAAGCATTTATCATTATATGCAAAAAGATCTCTTGATGAGAATATTATAGACGGTGCATGTTTTTGACATTAGCATTTTATTTGGATGACTAATCTTGCAGATGTGAAATTTCAATGAATTATTCATGAAATTGCTTTCCTCTGAAATTTTAGTTTGCTCTTAATGCTAGTTATTAAACATTTTGTTTTTCTTTATAAAATTTGATGAAGAGAAATGAGTGCGCTTCCTCAGGAGAACAGTTAGCCCCCTCCCCTCTCTCTTTCCTCCCCCCTTCTCTGAGTGGATACCTTCAATGGGAAGTCTTTCTCTGAGGATAAGGGTTGACTTTAGCCTGTCCTGGTGCTGAAACTTTCCCTTAGGATGGATTTTAATTCTGTGGAGCAGCTGGTGATAAACTTGAGGTATATGCTCAACATACAACATCAGCAGGTTAGAGGGGAAAAAACTTAGGCTGTTGCAACTTATCTACCAGTGTGAACAACCAGCATTTTTATTGCATTTGAGAATGCTATAATGTCAGTAATCAGTACTGACTACACAACATTTCTTTTATTGTCTGTATCCACAGACATGGAATGATGGAATTACAGTTGATGTCAAGGAATGAGTTTCTTTTATGCCTTATCAAAACAAAACAAAAAGAAACAAAACCCTCGTTACCGCAGCACATATACACGAAGCACCATGCTCACGGTCCAGACCGAGCCATCTCCATCAAGGCTCATGGGTAGCAGAGATGGTACGAGCTACCCTGGGCCTATGAGATGCCTTTAGAGTTGTCAATCTGATTCTCAAGATAAAAAAGTGAAATCGACTTGCAAAACATCCAGAATATCAGGAAGGTATGCCATGAACACAAAGGTACCAAAAAGATTTTAGTCTTACAAGCATAGTCTGCTTGTGTCCTTGGACATTTAGCTCAGCTGGAAGGTGGAGATAAAAAAAATGTTTGTGTGTGTGTGTGTGTCTGTGTGTGTGTGTGTAACAAAAAGCTAATGGTTTACATCACATTTTAGGTAAAATATACAAGTTTTTTTTTTTTTTTTTTTAACTAGGTCTGATGGGACGGTGGGAGTAATTTTAGAGCTGTCCAAAGGAGGCAGGACTGGCGGTCAGGTCACTCTTCCAGTACATAAGCCTTGATGTTTCATTTCATTGCTGGTCCAATATGGCAGCCTAAGTCATCTTCCATGGGTAGACTCTAGGGACAGCAGAAGGGGACCCTCATTCCTGACAGTGCATTTGTCTCACATATGGGACTCCTTCCTTAATGTACGCTTTTCTCTTGAAAGAAAAATAACAAATTGTCTTTACATCTTGGCACCTTGTAAGTTTTTTTTTTTTATACAAACATCTGAGATTTTTGACACTCCCCATTAGTAATCACTACTGATAAAACTCTGCAAGTGTGGCCTTGGAATTTCATCATGCAAAATTTTGACTGCAGCAGGAGAAAACATTTTTTAAACAACATTTTTTTTCTCTTTTCAAATGTATGAACTTCTATAAGATAGCCAAGAAGGCAGTGGTATGATAAACACAAGGGAAAAGAATGTATCAAAAAACAGATTAACGCACACACGCACACACACAAAAACCTGTACAAGATTCTCCAATCAATGAGAACAGGGGGGGAAAACCTGTCAACTATGTTACAATTTAAAAGCAAAAAAAAAGAAAAGAAAAAATTAATAATAATAATAATAAAAATAAAAACTTAGGGAAGTTTCTCCCTCCCACATGTCAGGAAATGTCATCCAATATTCTTAAAGCAAGGATAACAAAATACATGTGCAGAACATTCTGCAATTCCATTACATACAGTAGTTTTTTTCCAAAGATATTTTTTTTTTTAGTATCGTTAATATAAAGCAGTTGCACAAAAAAAGCAAAGGTATTTTGACAAACAGGTGTATGCATTTATTCCTTTTTAGGAACAATATCTAAAAAAAGAACCGCCCTCCGCCCTCCCCCAAAAAAGACAAAGATTCACACAGACACATCGGGATATGTACAACATAATAAACCCCATCCTAAAGAAGCGACTGGAATACCCCCAAGGATACAGAATCAGAACTGTAAAAATCATAGTGAAATTCGCTTGCTGTAAAGCCTGAGTTTTTTTTCAGTTGGTTCTTCTGCAAGACTGTGATACCTGCAAAGATATGCAAAATCTAATTTTTCTTTTTTTTTTTGCTACAGTCTTTAGACTAAGCATGCAAGACATACGACTAAGTGCAACTGAGTGAAATGTATTTTTTTTTAATTTTTAATCATTCCCTAAAGGTTTGAACTGAGGTATGCGTACTAACAGTTTCTCATGCTGTTATCTTTACTCGTGTCTAGCTACACATGCTGAGGATGGACTAATCTACCAGATTTTTATCCTCTTTTGAATACCAAACTAACCAGCAACCACTCAGTTTAGAAGCACAGAGCCCCCTTCCCATGACCTTGGGCTGGCTACTGCCTGTACATCATGAAGCTGCCTGGAAAAGTGGGGGGGGGGGAAAGGCATGAGTGACCACAGACTGCCCTTTCGACAGAAAGCAGAGTGAGGTTTCAAAAGTAACTGCCAGAGACGGTTTTGTACCAAGCTTATGTGTGGACAGGAGTGTTACTTTTTTGTTTAAATGAAAAAATGCTGACAAAGAACAATCTAATTTAAAAAAAAAAAAAAAAGGGAAGGAGAAATTAAAAAAAAAAACTTGGAGGATATATTTCAAGATCAACCAAAATTAATCCAGTGATCAGAGCACAGTCCTTAAACAAAAGTGGTATACAATTGTTCTAAAATGACTTTTTAATACTAGAAATACCATTACATGGTCTAGTTCAATCATAGCTTTTCTATTCTGCCTGAATTTCAGCGTAACTGTCCCTCTGTTGGATACCCTAATTTTCAGGGGGTATACATTTCTTTTTCTTTGAGATGGGACTCCATTCCTTCTATAGGAATTATAATATTGTGTCTATTTTTGTTTTCAGTAGTTCCTTAATTTCTCTTTCCAAGAATGAGTTTTTGGTCTCTGTACAGATACAGAAAAAAAAAAAAAAAAAAAAAAGAGAGAAAGAAAAAGAAGTACTAGGAAAAGTAACAACTTTGGTTCCATTACCTACTTGGTCTAAATTTACTCTGTGATGGAGTTTTTTCCCTCGGGATAGCAATAGCCTACACCTCATCATTTGCCTCTAACTTCTTTTGCCTCCTTTGTTCAACAATAAGAGGATATTTGGCTTCATCAGATAAAGCATAAAACAGAGAACTTAATTTACCTTTGTGTAATATCTTTGGTAATTTTAGAAATAAAAGGTACAAAGAATATAAATTAAGCTTCAAAAGTCTCTCAAAAGTAAAACGAAATGAAAGCTACGTTCCTCGATAAATAAATGACAGGGAAGTAGGTGCCGAGTGGAAGTGTGGAGGAACTCGAAGGACTGAGGATGGTTCTGACCTAGCGCCATCCATCACCTTCTGCCTGTCCTGTGTGGGTCCCTGCGAGCCCCGGGATGCCAGGAACCTCCGTCTACCTGATGTCATCTTCTGTTAGTTTGTGACACCGGGGTGGTGTGGTAATATTGCCTAACTGAACTGCAGTACCGAATTTGCACCTTTGAAAGGAACACTTTAGCATTTGCTGAACTCAGTCCTCACTAACTCTCAGAACAAGTTCAATGTGGAGTCTAATTTGCATTTTTCAAACAGATTAATGCCACCAAGCAGGTCTGAATCGCTGTATAAAGTCAGTGTCGCCACTTGTTCGGCAAAGTTGCCCAGGGAAACTGGGTTTTTGGTCTTTTTGCAAACAAAGTGACTCATGCTGTTTATAACAACACAGAGACCACGGCCCTGGTCACTTGGTGATACAGGGGGGAGAGAGGGAGAGCCTTCCTTGGACTCATTGTCAGTGTAATTATTAAGGGTTGACTTTTATCGTTTTCCTGGTGCTGCCTGTGGTTCTTTGGGCTGGTAGAATGTTGGAGCAGATATTCAGAATGATGGTTACTACAAAAAATAAAAAAAAGGAAATCTGAAACAATCCCCTTACCACCCCCAATACTGCTTCGTGGAATGAATCTGCATTGTTTCTACAGTGTCTTTTTTTGTTTTGTTTTTTGTCTTTTTTTCTGTCATTCATTCTCTTCTGGCAGGACGTCACGTCTGTGTGAGAGGACCTTCATTGTGTAGAGTGCAGCATTTGGGACCTTTTTTGAAAAAGACCAAAACGGAATGTTTTCTGACTGCTGAGAAACGTGGTGATGTCTGTAGGAAAATGGAATGACTGACAGAAAAGTACAAACAAGAAATTGACATTCAGCTTTGTATAATAAAAACACCTATTAACATTCATCACAAGGTACAGAAAACTTGAAGCCTCCAAGAGGCCATGGGCCCCAAATGGAGGCCTGAGGTCAGAACTCAAAAATGGTATAGCAGAAGCCAAAAAAAAAAAAAAAAAAAAAAAAAAAGCAATACATTAACAAGTTTGGGATAATTATTTTTAACCCCTCCCCCCAATACACACACAAAGGCCTTCCCCATCCCAACCAGAAGCAAAAAACAAAACAAAACAAAACAAAAAACAAAACGAAACAAAAAAAAAAAAAAAGGAAAGGCAGTGATAACTAACATGCAGTACTGTGCAAATAAGGTCGTCCATTGGAATCCTTGAATTCTGGGCAAAGGTTTGGTCTGCAACTCAGAGCACAAGCTCCGTTGGGTGTTCCTCAGTGTCCAACGCTGGCAGGGCTGCAGTTCCAAGTCTGCTGCTAGAAGTGAATCAGTTTAGCAAATTTACAACACTGATGTTGACTGTTAAGAGAGGAAAATCCCAAGTACCAAACAACAAGTCCATCCAATGCACAGAGTACAAATTCCTTTTTTCAACAAAAAGTAGAAAAATCAAAAATACTCCCAAATGGGATTTTTGATGGCACTAAGAGTTAACACACTTCAGAGTTGTCAAAATGGAGTGAAAATCCTCCAGACTGTACAACAAATGGAGAACGATTTCACTGTAACTTTTGACATGTTTTGTTTTTTTGTTTGTTTGTTTGTTTTCCTTTCTTCGTTGACAGGGGGGTTGGCCCTCCCAGTGTTCACTCCATGTCCTCATTTACTGGTTCATCTTCGTAATCTCTGTCATGGTCAAAATCTGGACTGTGGTTGGCTGTTGTTGTCACTAAGGACAGAGGCCCTTCGGCTTCCTCTGGATCGAGGGGCTCTTCTTTGACGTGTACAGGATGTCTGGAGAACAATTAAAAAAAAACAAGCAAAGCAAAGGTTCAGTGAGGTGCTTCCCAGCACAATGCATGTGCCCCTTGAGATTGAGGGAAAACCCACTCCAACTTAAAGTTGCATTGCTCACTTGTACTGGCCACATTCTAAGTGCTCCAGGGTCACATGTTCTCCAGGGCTCCTGGAGGGCACATTCGCCTCACTGTAGAAAGTTCTTTGGTACTGTGCTGTGCCAGCAAGACTACTGGACAGAAGCAGCCCTCCCATCCCCAGGGACATTTCTCCCGCTTTTCTGCACATTTGCATTACCGGAAGCCCTCGTGACACTGCAGCCAGCAAGTCTTGGGTGGACCTGAGACTCTGCGTTTCTGGTGGGTACTCAGATGAGGCTGTTGGTTTGGTTCTAGGAACACACTTTGGAGTACCAGACAATAGGCCCGGGATGTAATCCCGCGTGGAGGAATACCAATCTTCAGATAATTACGTGAAATGAGAATCTGTAATACAGTGGCGGTTGGTGGGGACCGCGGAGCACAGGAGGCTGGGCTAATCATGGCTCGCTGTGTGTTCTGCTTTGCTAGTTAACATGCAGAACCTGTGAAAGAACTCTCCAGAGGACGACCCCAGGCGAGGTTCTATCATTAATCAACTTCAAGCAAACACAGCAAAGAGACACCATGATACATGCTAGAAACTCCAAATTAATGCATATTTTTACAAACTGTCAATAAGGCAAGAAAAGCCCTGCCAGGAAACACAAACGGAGAGGAAAATGCTCGCTCCACACAACAATATGATAAGAGAGCAGAGCCCCGATCCGAATAATAACGCTGTCAGCTGTAAACAAGGCAAAACATGAGGCCCGGCTGGTAGCGGCCACCAGGACCCACGCGCACAGGATGAGATCTGCCAAGTTTCTCATTATGGACCTGGGCTCAGTTCACCCAAAGGGGACCGGGGTGATCACACAAAACCACTCTGATAACAATTGAGAAATGTTGTTCGTAAATCATATTTACAACCGATCCTTTGCAAATACAAATTACTTTCTGTGGCAGGGCTTTTGATATGTAAAAGAACCATTCAAGTTTAAAAAAACCACTTTCTGGGCCAGGCTACAGAAGGGTGGGAGTGGGGGTGTGTGTGGAATGTTGGGGGGGCTCTAATTGACATTATCAAGTTTAGTAATAAAAGGTGGGTGCTGGGGTTGATTGGCTTCCTAAATAATTGATGTTGTATGCAAACCCCAAAGGGCCCTTGAAGTATTTAAAAACAAACAAAATAGTGCTTTGGACTGCCCTTCAGACATGAATCTTCAGAATCAATTGACTCTAAAATTAGCATGAGCGTAGAGAGTTTGGGGGCCTAGATGTCAGCTAAAGAGCTTTAAAAAAATCATGCCCATATTCGTAAAAGAGCCATTTGTAAAACAAAACAGAGCAGAGTTGCCTTAGAGTAGACCTTACTTGTGGCTCTCCAGCTATTTGTACTTTTTGGAAATAGTCCTATTCATCTGTGTTTCTGCAGCAAGACCCAGGCCTCCTTCATGACTTGCAGAGCCCAGTGCAAAACGAAAAATACAGACCCCCTGGTCTGATGATCAAGAATTTCAAGAAAGAAATTCAACATTTAAAGAAGTCAGTGTCCTTCATGGGCTCACGTGTCTCATGCCTGTGTTGTCAGCACTGCTAGAATCTGACTACAGTCTTTTGTGAAGATTGAGGTGTACTGATAACTCTTCATCTAAAAACTGAGTGATAAATCCTGAATTAAGGTCAGTCTCTTCCCATCGGAAGTCATATTTTTATGTACTGTAGACACAGCAGGGATACTGTAATTGGTTTTGTTTTTCAATTATAATTTTTATAGCTCTATGAGATTCCAGTGTGTTGACATATAACAGTCCCTAATACTGGACAATTCTGCAATTGTCTCTTCCCTTCATTGTTTGTACAATATGGTAATCACTGTCACCCATTAATCACTCTACTTTGTTGAGTTACCTCCTTAGGATAAATTTCTAAGAATAGAATTGTTGGAACAAAGGCCAAAACATCTTTATGGTTCTTATGATTTATGGTGATATTAATTTTCACAGAAGCTATATCAACTGTGACTCAATCTCATCAGTATCAAAAATTATTTTTAAAAAAACAGTTTGTTTCCAAGCAAGGATGAGGTAAAGCATAGGTGGCTTTTAAAGTCTATTTCTTAGATGGGGGACAACAGCAAGAATTTCTTTGTATTTTCACTAGAGAGAATTGTGACTTTCATAAATGAACTCCTCTATGTACAGTGATCACGTGGTTTAGTCATGTCCACCGGACAGGAGTTGGTTTTTGTTTTATTTAGTCAGGTACTGGGTTTCAAATGTCATTTTTCAGAGTAACATTTTCCTACTTGATTTTTTAAAAGTTAACAGACATCTTAATTTTTCCAGAATCTGCAGAGATAACATGAAGCTTTGTGTGGGTGAGGATCAGAACCCTAAAAGAACCATAACAATCCTGATGAAGTTCTGCCATATAAAATCCCCAGGAAATTTCCCCAGGAAATGCAGTATCAAGAGAATTTTTTGTTATCCCCAAAATTCATGGATTAGTTACTATCCCAAAGAAAAGTAATGATCCTGTCATCATACTTGCTGGCTCCATCCCAGAGCTTAACATAGAGTAAATCTCCAGCATGTATGACCACCAACTAGATCCACTGTGTGACAACATGACAATACACCAGGTCATATATTAAGGCTTCTTAAGTCTCCAGAAACATGAGATCCAAGTTCAGGGCATTTAAAACTAGCAGATACTGCTAGGTGTGGCAAATGTGGTAGAACCATACATTGCCTTGGGGAATCAAACAGAATGGATTTCCATGTAGCCGCAACTATTAAAGACACTGCTTCACATACATGCACCCTTGGTGTGTCTCCCAGAACCTGGAGCTGCATTGTGGGTGTCCCTTGGGTACCTCACCACTCAGCTCTACCGTCCTTTCTCCCTGACATCTACTTCCGAAAGGGCTACCAATGAGTAACTGAGTAAAACCCTACTCTTTTCGTCTGGGTAATTCCTTTGTCCACTGTGGGAACACAAGAGTTTTTAAATAAAGCTGACTGGCACTTAAAGGCATTGTGTTCAGGGAGGTAGACACACAGCACTGGGTGTTTCGCTTTACAGCTCCTTTAGCTCCTATCAGTATAAAAGTACAGTGCCCAAAAGCCATAATTACGGGACTCCTTCCTACTGTTTCAAAAGGGAAGCAAAATGCCGTGGTATGGGAGTGTAGCGGGAAGGGTGAGAATGAAAAGTTCAGTTTCAACACTAGATATTAGCTGCCTGCCATCCTAACAAGGTCCTTCCAGCTTTGCTATAAAGTTTATGGCTTGATTTATTCCAATAGACTGGAACAGTTAAAAAAAAAACAATTTGCATCATAGCAGGGTAATGCATATTGGACAAGAATGAAAACTATGTCATTATGAATTTGCTTAATGGAAATACAGGGTCAGAAAGAGTAACCGTGTCTGACACTGATAGTAGGCATGGAGACTCTGCTGTCAACACAGAATTGCATTTACACATGGTGCAAACCTGAAATGCAGGCAACTCATTTTGACATCTCTGTATATAGGGCTGTTTTCATTCTTTTAAGCAGCTGAAACCTTTTGATTCTTTAAAAATTATGGTGACTGCCAAACAAACAAACATGGTTTTTGGTAGTAGTAAGGTTAATTCAAAGTTGTTAAACAAATTGACTTCACAGTTGACTATATTTTGTTCAGGAAAATTAGCGTTAATGAAATGTCATTGCCTGTGAAGCTTATATACAATTATCTTCGGTTTTATTCTTTATACTAAAAACTAGCAATACACCAACTTGAGAAATGATCTCTTCCATTCAGTAATTTCAAATATTTTTGATCTAATGTGTAGTTCTTGAAGCAGTTCTATACCAATTTGCATCTGCTCTGAATTACGTAAACATCTGAGTAAATACTCTTGTTGTGACTTAACAATGAATGTGGGTGTGACAACAATAAAATCACCAACACCAGGTGGCTTTGGAAAGGATGAAATTCTGCAGCATGAGTGTGCAAGATGAACCCTGCCTTTGAATGTTGTGAAGTAAATGCAGGCAAATTATTCATTTAAATTAAAAATAATTATTTCCATCTTTAAAGATTCTTCTCAAAGTACTTTGGGCATGCGATTCAAATGCTAGAAAATCAAATTTCAGATTGCCCCATACCCTTCAATTATGCTGGCAGATAACATGTTTCTCTTTGTCATTAGATGTCAATTCATTCTGTTCCTAATTGCTACAGGTCACATTTTTCATTCCCATCACTCAAATTATCCTAAAACAAGATGTTGGTCAGTAATTCAGAAAGAATGTGTAGACACGTAGCCTATTCTAGGGGCTGACAGTGTGCAAACACTGAATTGCTTTATTCACAAAAAGTAGGCCTCAGTTGTGCACAAACTCCCTGAAAGGGAGAACTGTCATTCCAGAGCACCCTCTGTGAATCCAAACGTTCGGAATAAGCTTATTTCTTTCTCTATTTAAAACTCTTTCTGGGAGAGAGGGGGGTTATCACAGTGGCCCACTTCTCTCCTGTCACCCAGCACGGGGGCCTCACACCCCAGTGGCCTCGGCCTTTGCTGTGGGTGCCATTCACATTCAGCACTGGCAAACCACGCTTGATCACTCCATTCAGTGTATGTGCGCTCATTATACTGCCGTCTGCTGCTGTAATGCTCCTATTAATTTTCCTTTTGATATTTTAAGAGCAATCTATAAATCATGCCGCCTTTCATTTGTGCCACCATTAATGCTTGGTAATAATGCTTCTGCGCTTCGCATTCAAGGTTCGACTAAGCACGCAACCAAGTAAACGAGCACTTTTTCTCTTGGTAGGTTCAGTGTGCCTGCAGTTGAGCCAACAGCAATCTTTTTCAAGGAGAACTGCACTGAACTTGGGAGAACAATGACAGTGTGGTGTGAACGATGGTAACAGCCTAAGACTCAAGGCAGAGAAAAAAATTTCTCCTTTAATTGCTGTGGGGTGCTTGTAGACTGATGAGGTCAATAGCTTTTTATTTTTTTTTGCTGTACTGAGATTTGAACTCAGGGCCTATACCTGAACCACTCCACTAGCTCTTTATCGTGATGGGTATTTTCAAGATAGGGTCTTGTGTACTATTTGCCCAGGACGGCTTCAAACCTTGATCCTCCTGATCTCCACTTCAGGAGTAGCTAACATTACAGGTGTAATTGGCAGCCAATTGCTTATATGGGAAAATTAGTGACTACTCCTTTCATGCGTTAACATTTCTAGAAGAACAAACTTCTTCCTGGGGTCTAAGGAATGACAGGAAAGGTCTACACACAGGATGGAGATGGGGTTGTGTGCATACAAACAGGAAGCCTGGGATCTAGTGGCAAAGGCCATCCAGGTGGGCCAGTACTTACACAGCTTGCATAGGGGATCTGCCTGGACTGCTGTCGCTCTCGTTGCTATTGGTGTGCTCCATGGCCCCATTCAGCTCCTCCCGGATGGCGCTGGCCAAGTTGCCCAGAGTGGGATTTCCCATGGAAGCGGTAGTGTATAGAGGTATACTATTTTCAGCCATCGAAGCCTGCATCAACCAAGAGAAGACTCATGAAGGCACAGGGTACACCTGTACGGGTGGGTTCAGTAATCTTCACTTTAAGTTCATTGTCGCACGGTTGGCGATTAAAATTTCAAAGAGATGTAGAATGATTTGGTTTGAAAAGTCACTCCTGGAACATGGTCCAAGTTTTGTTTTAAGAGCTGACTTGGGGGTACCAAAGCACCCTTGAGGAAGAAGTCCTCGATTTGATCCTGATTGAAGAGTCACAAGGGCTAGACAAGACTCTCTAATAAGCGGTTTATATCCCATGCCTTTTTTTGCAAGAGGAACTGAATATTTCCTGATCATAGTGAAATATAATGCAATTTTCATTTCTTTATCCATTTTGATGACTCTACTATTGGATATCAGACATTTGATCAGATTATCCCTGGGCACACTGCTCAAATTTATGAGAACTTCCATAAACATTTACCTCTGAGATCTTATAGAAAAGGAAGAGATTATAGAACTGGAATCAATTTCTATCTCCCCCCATCATTTCTGTTTTAATGATTTTTTTTGAATGTGTTTAGTGAAATCCAAGGTAACAGCACATAATCTTCCCGACTCAGACCCATCACCTGGGATTTGAAGTCTAAAGAAAACTCTGTGTCACAAGGAAGTGCTAAATCTTATTTCTTTTTTGGTGCCTAAGCACATTGATATTAAAGGTGACAAAGTCACTCCAAATGAGTGTCAGCAAAAAAGTGTGAAAATGGGGGAAAAAAAAACCCCACCCATAAACTCTATAGGAAGGTACTGTTCACTTCCTGTCCTACTGCATTTGAATAAAATGGCTGTCCAGTCTGAAATGCAGACAGTAGTCAAAAAAAACATTACTGGGTTAACATTAAAGTAACCACATTTGTTTCGTTCCTGTAGTGAGTGTGACCCAGTGACTTTTCATTTTATTAAAGGGAGTAGACTTTGAAAGACTGGCAGCTGTAATTAGACCAAGATTTATCAAAATTGTCCTCTTGCAGACTATACTATGCCTGCTTTTCCATCCTAATGAGAAAAAAGTGCAATCATAAGACATTCTGGCATGGCAACTTCAATTGGCCCAGCATGCAAGAGTCCAAACTAGTCTGGAAACCTTGGCACTGAAGAATAGGTCCGAGCCAAAAAATGAAGGGAAAAGGGAGCAGAGTCGGGCTGCAGGGAGTCTGCCTGTTGTGACAGTCACAGACACACTCACTGTATAAACCCCAAAGCCAGAAATCTTCAAGACAAGCCCCATGATGGCCCCCCCCCACTCACCAAAACTAGGGTTGGGACCTGTTGCATGCCCACAGCTTTTCTTTGTTCCCTTCCCTTCTGAAGTTACCAAACTGCCTTCTTTTAAAAAGTAGCGGGGACGTCTGGCTTTTGTTTCCCAGTGTGGTGAACTCAATTTGACGAATATTCCCCAGTCTCCTACAGTTTGTCAAATAGTTTGTATCATGTACTTCTGTCAACAAATCTCTCATAACTGCAATTACTCCTTTGGGGTTAAAGAGTATGGTTATTGCAAACAACACTGTGGTCATGCATCTTTGTCCCAGAAGTTGTGCTCTGTGACTGGCAGGGTAAAATACTACAAGATGAGCCCTCCCAGGATAATGTCACCGTCACATGGGTCGGATGTGGTAAAAGTGGAGCCACTGCCAGCTGGAGATTTCAGCAGATTCCCAAGCCAAAAACAGAACAGTAAAGGCTAAATTGAAATGGTTGTAAGAATGTGCTTGTTGGGATGAGCTGCTTAACCTGGTGGAGAAGGTAACCTTCTTGGGATAAATGTGCATTCCCATGGCTCTCCAAGTATTCGAAGACAAGGTCATTTCTGATTGAACTTGGGAAGAGGCCCAAACTGTGGCAGTAATGAAAGTCATCCTGTGGCAATCCCCTGTATTGATCCCTTGACTCTCGGAGAAGGAATAAGTGAAGAAAAGCAGACTTATGCCTTTAACACACAGCCAATGGGCTGCCAAGGGATTCTGGGGCCTGACCCACTGCAGTGCTTCTGGAACACTCTTTGTTGAGTAGGGGATCAGAGCAACTCAACAAAGGTTAGAAAATTTTTTTTACCAGTTGTTTCTGCCTAAAAAAGACAGGTTCTTTTTATACCTGATGTCCCCTTAGAAAGCAGGTGTGTCACAATTTTTATAATGGAGTTAATTATATAAATGACCCTGGACATTTGAAACCAGTTTGATATCAAACTGGCACCTCTGTCAAAAAAAAAAAGAAAGAAAAAGAAAAAGAAGGTGCTTAAGTAATGGTGCAGAAGTGCGTAAGTGCCATCGCTTCTGGAACATTAACCGCTCTCAGATCCTTGGGGAAAAGGCAGTCTATAAATACAAAGCCTTACGGTTACCCTTAGTTACTTCACTTTTCCAAGCGTAATGCAATCTGTCCCAAGTCCCACGTTTTATTTCTGTAGGAGATGCTGCCCTATTTTATAAATTGTATATATCCTGTATTATGTTGGTCTAGCAATTTTTTTTAAGATATGGTTCCACTATTATTTTTGCTTGTCTTGAAAAATGGAAATGGGCCTGTTGGTAGGTGCAGGGCAGAAAGCTGTCTGCTCTGACTGTCAGTAGACAGATCAAGGACTCAAACTCTTAGAGGACAGGACCACAAGCCACTCTCTAAGTCACGCATTTAATAGTCACTTGTTTGCCTTGCCTCGTGATGGGCATCAACGTGTTCTTGGAAAATAGTGGCACAGTTTTGAGCTCCCACAGGAGACAAGGAAGAGAGCAGAGGAGGCAACCACAAATGTCTCAGAGAGGAAACATGGACAGTTTGGTGACAAGAAGCCTTCTAATCGAATTTAGTCACAGAGTGAAGGGAATCCAGAGGATGGAGGAGCACTTCTTTTCTTTTTTTTTTTTTTTTTTGCCTTTCTGCCTCATGAATGTAAAATGTGCTTGTAATTTTAATATCATTAGAGATAGAGCCGCCTTTAAATTCACACTTCACAAGACTCCAGGGAAAATAAATTCCTAATGAATGGTATTTAGAGTGGTGGCACCTAAGCAGGCTTTCATTTACTCTCCTAAAGTTACTGTGTAAACTACAAGTAATTAAAAGAAATGCAGAAAGTAGTTTCTGCTATTAAATTTAGTTCAGGCTAAAAATATATAAATATAATTACTGAGCTGCTGAGTTCCGTGACTCTGCTGCTGAACTGTGTAAGTACCAGATCTTCCATCAGGAGCCATAAAATGCTGCTGAAAAATGGTTCAATAGGGCACACAGTAGGTACTCAATAAATACTTGTTTAATGAAGAGTAAAAACCAGGCTCCCATCAGTGTGTCTTCTCCCATCTCAACCGCCTTTCCGTAAACTTGTATTTCTCTACTTCTGATCTCCCTCTCCAAGGGTATGTGTGTATGTACCCTGGCCCTTTGGAAGAGCACGAGACATTGCAGAACCACTTTTGGGGTGATGAGCATTGAGGATGCATGGGGTAAGAGTCTGCAATGGAAGTGGGTTACAAATGGAAGATACAGCTGTAGAATATGTCATGTCAAAGTAAGATTCTTTTGGTCTTCCTTCTAAAATAGCCCACAGGAGCATTGGCTAGCAGGATAGTGACCACTTATGGACTGTTCAGGGTGACTTGGGTGCTTTAATAAGTGACAGTGGAGTAGTCTATATCTGGAGAGATGACTTGGGGGGGGGGTGGTAACTGAGAAGTACAGGCCAAACAAAAGGTTTGCTGGACACCCAGGTTGTCCCTGTAGCTCAGGGTGGCTGTGAGAACGAAATATTGATCCTCTAACAAGTTGGTGATCTAACAAGTGCTTGGTTTGTCAGTAGGAAACAATGTGTGAGGTAGGTTTTTATGTAATCTCCAACAATCTGCTAGAAACCTAGAGTTTTCTTACATGCCTCTATTGTCTTCAACAAAAAAATGGTTGACTTACACAAAATGAAACAAACCCAGGTCTCCCTCCCACCCCCAAGAGAAGATGCTGAAATGAACATTAAAAGAAGAGGAGGGGGACACAAAGCTGTGCTTTCTCTTTAAACCTGTGAACAATAGAAGGTCACGTGACACAGTGGCCTATCATCCAGCACATTAATAGCTGTGCTAGAGTAATTACACTTGTGGTATTTTTGCCTCAAGTGAAATTCTGAAATAAGAGGATGGAAATTATGATACTGCTGATAAATATTAATCAGTGAACTTTTAATTTTTTTTGCCACAATATTCAAAATGCTAAGCACCATGCTCACGCTGAAGCGGCCCGATGCGTCTGCCTCCAGGGAGTGCGATGCTTTGTGCACTTAAGAAAAAAGTTTAACGGAATTAAAATTTAATATCTAATTAGAGCGAGGCTAATATATTTTGAAATGAGTAGGGGAGACATGGGCCTCTGCTGCAGATTCGGGACGGCCATTAATCTTACCTGTAACGCTGCATTGAGAGGTGTGCAGTAGGCGTGGCTGCTCTGCATGTTTTTAATAAGGGAAGGGTTACTGTGCAAGAAAAAGATAAAAACTCAAAGTTAAATGCAATCCACTCCTGAGGTCCCAGCTACCCTTTTCTTTTCTTTTTTTTTTTTTTTAAGCTGGCTGGTAGCTTCCAATTAGAAATTTCTCCCACTAACCAAGTCAAAGGAAAGTTAAGCTTTCAGCCTCTCCCCTTTTACAGGGCTGGGCTGTGTGAATAGCCGTGGAGCTGGACTTTGTTCAACAGAACTGGGTGCAAATTTCTGGTGTAAGTACTCCCTCCAGGAACCTCCCTGCAACTGTGGA